CCAGCATGATCAGAAAAGTTTATAAGACCCTATCTCAGACAATGCTGGATATGGTTGCTTGTGCCTGTTATCCCAGCTATGGGGAAGCACAATAGCTATGAACGTGGCATGCACCTGTCATCCTCATTGAGATGTGGAAGCAAGCATACACAGAAGGCTCACAGCCCAGGTCCATCTAGGCAAAAAGCAAGACCCTACCTTGAAACTAACAAGGGCAAAAAGGGGCTGAAGGCAGACCTCAAGTGGTACAGCACCTGCCTAGCAATCTGTGAGGTCCTGAGTTCAATCCCCAGTACTACTGATGTAAATCCAATGTATACTGAATTAGTAAACGTGAATAGGTTAAACAGTCCAACACACAAAGACCAATTGAATTTGGATAAAACAACAGACTCCAAGGTTATGCCATGTATGTGCCTTGTATCAGATATAATGGTGCCTACTGGCTACAAGAAAGATAAAAGATAAAAATTACATAACAAAAAATGAACCATAAGACAGTTGGGTATTTAATATCAGTAAAATAAACTTTGAATGTAACTAGAGAAAAATGGCATTTTATAGTGATGATAGGGACAATTCATCATGCAGATATAATTATTAACATAAATGCAGCAAGACAATAGAATACAACCCATTCTGTCATCAATGAAGACAAATACATCATAAGAAAACTACAGTCCAATATCCTCTGTGAATATAGATACAAAATTTCTCAGCAAAAAATTACCAAATCAAATTCACCAAAATAAAAACAGAAAAGAATCATACACCACAGCCAAAAGGGACTTATTCCAAGAACACAGGTTGATTTAACACTTCCAATTCAATGTGATATATCAGAGTATATTGGCTAATACTGTATTGTATATAATAAAGAAGAAAACACATGATAATATTGTATATAATAAAGAAAAATACATGATAATTTAGTAAATGCAGAAAAAGTATGTGATAAAAATCTAGCCCTCACTCATGATAAAAATTCAACCAATTAGTAAAAGAACTTCCTGAAACTGATGAAGAACATCTATAAAAAAAACTGGGAGAGAATGAAGGAAAAGGTAACATTGTCCAAAAAGAAATTTACTCCTTATAGGATTTATACAAATGTAACTCTTCCATACATCACCTTTATAATAACAATTAAACATAAGCTGGGTGTAGTGGCTCATGTCTGTAACCCAAGCTACTCAGGAGGCTGAGATCTGAGGATCACAAGTTTGAAGCCACCCTCAGCAAAAAGTCCATGAAAGTCTTACACCTAATTAACCACTCAAAAATGGGAAGTGGTCCTGTGGCTCAAGTGATAGAGAGCCTTGAGCACAAAGAGGCCCAGCACCCAGGTCCTGAGTCCAAGCCCCACAACTGACAAAAAAATTATATATGTTTAAAAAGTATCTCTTTTTTGCTGTTTTTAATGTACTAAGTGACCTTTTAGGTTGTTTTTTTTTTTTTTTTTTGTGGGTCATGGGTCTTGAACTCTGGTCCTGGGCACCGTCGCTCAGCTCTACAGCTCAAGGCGAGCGCTCTACCACTTGAGCCACAGTGTCACTTCCAATTTTCTGGTGGTTTATTGGAGATAAGAGTCTCATGGACTTTCTTGCCCAGGCTGGCTTTGAACCTCGATCCTCAGATCTCAGCCTCCTGAGTAGCTAGGATTACAGGCATGAGCCACTGGTGCCCAGCTTGTGACTATTTTTTGTTTCTTTTGTATATTCTTCCCCCATGGTATAACCCCTGTTCTCACTGTATTTGATTCCCATGCCCGCATCTTGTATATACATTTTTCTAATTTGGGGAGGGGAAGGGAAATAACAAAATGCTGAAACAAGGATACAGTTTGACCCATTGTAACAATGAGATGTACAAGACACTATGTTGAAAACGAACTTTACAACTTTACAGGGAGAGGGGAGGGAGGGATGGGAAATGGGGAGGGAAGGGATTGTAGGGGAAAAACCCAATGCTGGAGAGGAAATGTACTCATTACCTTACCCATGTAACTGTAACCCCTCTGTCCAGTATCTTTACAATAAAAATACTTTAAAAATACCTATAATGCATCTATTATCATATTTAATGAAAGATGAGGAACAAAATGAATATGTTAGTTTTGCCACATCTATCATTTAACTGGAGATTCTAGATGGAAGAATAAAAACATAAAAGGTATCCAGATGTAGTAGGGGTAGGAGGAATTTGTAGTAAAACTCTGATGTAATTGTGTATGAGAAAAGTCCTATGAAATATATCAATACACACACAATTAATTAATCAAGTAAACAGCTCAATTTATAAACAGGTGTAATAGTGTCAAAGATTTCTTGAAAGAACATACACAAATAGCCAATAAAGCACATGAAAGAATATTGAATTAGCCATAAGGCAACTACAAATCTAAATCCCAATGAGACAGTAGTTTATACCCACAAGGAGAGTTAGAATTTTTGGAAAGGGAAAATAACAAGTGCAGATGAGGTTGTGAAGAAATTACAATCCCATTTTGTTAATGGTTCCTGTAAATGTAGTAAAAGTAAAATAGTGCAGCCCTCTTAGAAAACAGCTTGGCTAAAGATTAAACATAGTCACAATATTTCCAAGAAATTCCACTCGTATGCATGCATCTACCCAAAATAACTGAAAACACAGGTCCACTCAAAAACATCTACGTAGACTTTCATAATAGCTTTATTCACAGTAACTAAAGTAACAATCCACAGGTCAGTGAACTGATGAAGGAATAAACAAAATGTGGTCTAGCCATATAATGGTAAATCATTCATCTGTGAAACAACTTAAGCTCCGATTCGTGCTACAACATGAGTGACCCCTGGAAACGTACATGTAAGAATCTAGACAGAAAAGGCCACACACTGGATGACTCCATTTGCATACTATGTCTAGGACAGATAAACCCATGAGAAAGAAAGCAAGTTAAAGTTGCCTACTGCTGGGTAGTAACAAAGATGGACTGCAAACAGACAAGGGAAATGTCATTTAAGTGATGGAAATGCCTAGAGTTGCATTGCTGCGAGGGTTGCCCCGCTTGATGAATGTACTAAAAGCCCTTGTGATGTACACTAAAAACAAGCCAACTTTATAGACTGCAAATTATGTCTCAAGGAAAATATGAAGTCCCAGGAATGGGAAAACTCCTCCCTTTGATAATTTATTAGGGACCACCATCCAGAGCTCATTGGGCTATTATTTGATGCTGTCGTGGCCATGGTAATGGCAGCAGTGATGTAGGAGTGGTGGTTTTCCATCATGGTACATCATAGTACAGAGTAGGCATTCACTGAAAGTCTGAAGTAAGTAAAGTATGATAGATAGAGAATAGAAGAGTAAACTAAAAATACAACTAACAAAGCAGTCACCAGGTCCTGCCAATCAGTCCTAAACTCATCCTCTAGGTTAGTTCAGCAGAGGTCCAGCACAATTTCCCTTGATATCATTTGAAAAATCGTCAAGTACTTCTCTCACTCAGAACACCTCCTTCCTTTTCAGCCACTCTTTGCCTGGAACCTGCAGGAGTGTCACAGGCTGGGTTTTCCTACCCCTCTTCTCCTACAACCAGGACAATGGAAGGCTCATGTACAACCCATATGAGCACAGTGCTGTAGAAAGAGGGCCACAGTGGCACCCACTTGGTGGTACTGTGTTCAGTTTGGCTTCAAAGCAGGAAGTGTCACTTCCCACCAAGGAGGTTTATTGGTCCAGAGGTTCTTGCTGCCAGCTCTGGCAGGCAGAAAACATGGCTGCTGGAAATACTGGAGACACTGAAGGATCAGTCTGGATATTTTACAGCCATTCCCAGAGTTGACCAGCAAAAATACAGAAGCAATCCTGGATTCTGATACAGATACCAAGACAAATTTGACCCAGTCCACACTTCTAAGAAATAACAAGTAGCAGGAACACACTGAAGAAGGCCCAGGACTCTATCATTTCAGTGAACATTCCCTTCATCACACTGATTATGAAGGTACAATTGTTTAATTGTTTTGCTAAATAGTCATATTCACCAAAGTATTTTGTACCACATATGGTTGTCATTATCATTACCATCACTTCCTTAATGAGGAACTGGAAGCTGATATCAAAATATTGGATCATATGTTTTGTACTTTTTTTGTATCTTTATAGTTAATTAATATAAAATCAACTGTATATGTTTTTGGTATAGTGTTCCCTAACATGGGCCATGACAAGCTAAGAAGCAACTGTGAAAGATCACTGTGTGAGAATGGATTGTGGAAATGTTTGTAAAATTGAGAGCACATTTTTTTCATTCTGTGAAATTATTCAACATTTTTCATCATGATACTTTTATTAGCCATGGGCCATGTTATTCAGCAGAACATTCTGAGAAATCACCTAATTGTAATTGTTAATAGTAAAGTGTTCACATTATTTGGAGTCAGTAATCAACTGAGGCAGTAAATGTATGTGGCTTCCTAATCTAATGTCCCCAAAGCAGTATTCAGCCACTCCCTAGGCAGTCTTGCTCTCCAAGAGCAAAAGGTAAAACCTGGACAGAGAGCATTATTAGAGAAGGGATCAAAAGAAGGCAGAGCTGCAAGGTCTTGCAGAAACAGATGTCCCTCTTCCACTCAATAGCTGAGCAAAGTGAAGCATGCTGAAATCGAGACACTGAGTGACAGATCTAGAGCTTGAAGGTCTGATCGAGTTTTAAACAATGCACACTGGGTGTCATTTCCAACCCCAGCTTGCTCTAGCTTTTCCTGGGCGCTAGGCCCAATTGTTCTCGCTAGGTGAACCCAGTCATGCAACTGAGAGCTTGGCGTTAAAGCTGGAGCGTCCTTCTTCTCGGCCTGGATTAGGGTAAGTACCACTACCAAGGCACCAAGCAGCCAGGTGGGAATCACCACTGCCTCCGCCACCCACTGCAGCGAGCCTGAAAACGTGAGGCAGACCATAAAGGCCCAAGTCTAGCCACACATTAACCCCTACCCGACCCGAGAAGCGGGACCTACCTGTATAGCTGGTGGCGACTCCGAATTCTGAAATGCAAATAAGAAAGGCCTTTGGATCCAGCCTTACACGGGCTTTGCTTTGTTACGCCCCTCCCCCGCCCCAAATGGTCGGTTCTGTACTCCCCTCCCCCCAAGTCCAGCAAATCTCCTCTCAAGCCTCTAGGCCCCGCCCCACCCCTTCCGTGGGGCTGAGTGATTTGTAGGCGAGCAAAGTTTGCTGAGGGAGCTCTTATTCCTTAAAGGCTTCGGTCCTGAAGTTTTATGTTGGTGTTTCTTAGTCGCCTTCTTGGAACCGATTTTGAGGAACAAGTTTAAGGAAGAGAAAAGAGGCTTATGGTGCGTGTAAAGCTCGAATTGGTTGGTTGTCTGAATGTGATTTCAGTGTTTCTGTGGAAACGCTTTGCTTCTGTTTGTTGGAACTAAAAGTCTTCCACTACCCTTCAACCCCCTTTTGACCTGACAGACATCACATATTGGACTTTTGTTGATTCAGTTGAACATCTTGCATGCAAGATCTAAGTTGGTAAGATCTATTGGTAAGTGACCAATACAAGAACAAAACATATTAGAAAAACCAAGATGTGTATATTTTAATAGTATGTACAATTGAAATCAAGAGCAGAGGACAAATACTGAAAACTAATATACAACTAATAATAATATACTGTAATATATATTGATAACATAAGAAATAAGGACTAATATAAACCTGGGTGCCAATGGCTCATGCCTGTAATCCTAGCTCCTCAGGACAGACAGGAAAGTCCATGAAACCTGTGTCTCCAATTAACCACCAAAAAACTGGAAGTGAAGCTGTGGTTTAAGTGGTAGAGCACTAGTCTTGAGCACATAAGCTCAAGGACAGTGCCAAGGCCCAGAGTTCAAGCCCCAGGACTGGCACACACACACACACACACACACACACACACCTAATATAGAAAATATAATTTATAGATGTTGAAAAATAGGGAGTATTACTATTAGAGATGAAAGCATTAGTTTATTGTTAGAAAGATATAAAGGCAATGGTCTGTTAAACTCAAGAACCTTTTTAATATTACACAGTTTTACCCTGGAATTCTTTCACTACTGGGGTATTCTGTCCACACTTACTGATTTGCAAAACTGCTACTCATTTTCTTTTATTAAATTTGCATGTAATTTCCTCTGTGATTCCTTCATTACCTTTTTCCAGATAAATTTGCATTGTCATTTTCAAGAGGTCAAACATGTTCAAAGAATCCATTTCAGGTCTCAATACAAGCTCTCACTCTGGGTTATAATTTTTCCTTTGGCATATGTTTGTTCCCCATGAACAAGAACTTGAGAGCAGAAAATTTGTATTTTCATTCTTGTTTCCAGTCACACATCATGACATAATTGTATTTTGTGAATATTTGTTGAGTTTCCTGGAACCAGTGAATGAACAATTGAAAGGTTATAGACTGAATGTGAATCAATGAATGTTAAGAGAAACTGAATAGGGCAAGTCTAGATTTAGTTCAGCTGATACTCATTCATGCAACAAACTTTAAAGAGGCCCTACTGTAAATCAGACATTTCACTAAGCATTAAGTATAAAATGATAGACCAGATATAGCCCATGCTCTTATGATCATATATTTACAAAAGAAATCAAATTAGCCTACGCAAATAGGAAATGGAAGAACATTCCAGACAAAGGAGAACAGCATAGCATGGTCCAGACTCTGATAATAGAAAGGGGTATTACAATAATAATTAGAGGGAGGTCAACGGAAGTAAGTTGAAATTGGCAGATATAAAGTACCCAGAATGAAGCATAAGGCTAATAGAATATTTATTTGTGGCAGAGAATAGAACTTAAAAGAATGTTCACTATAAAACCAAACTAGTCAACCAAAAATCTAGGAACAATGGGATAAACAATAAAAACAGAAAAAGCAAATATTATCTAGGTCCTTTTATGTTCCAGCCACACTAGAGTTTCTTCTGTTTGTAGAAGACACCAAGCTTTTTTCTTTAACTTTAGGTCACAAAGTGCCTTTTCCCCCTGTAAAGTCAGATGATAAGTAATTTGTTTTCTAAGTCACACACAATTTTTCTGCAAGTAAATTCTGCCTTCATAGGATATAATCAGTCACAAATCTGTTATTATATACTATGTGTGGAATTGTTTCAATAAAAAGTTTACAAATATAGGTGGGAGACACAATTTGGTCTGTGGCTTATAACTTCACAATTCCCACTCTAGGGCAATTATCACCCTCTCTTGTATGGAATAATAATTGAATAACAATTGAATGGAATAATGTACTGAATGATGTGCAAGCTCCAGGATCTTTGGCTAACATCAGTATTTTGATCTTACTAGCACTTACTAAAACTTTAATGCTTTCTAATCCTATTTCAAAGCCTTTGGTATTCTTGAAAAGTCAAAACTGTATTATGATTTGGATTTTCATTAATCAATAATGGTCCTTTAAAACCTTAAAAATACACAAGTTAAATATAGGAGAGTTTATTTGAACAAAGAATAGTTCATGATTGGGTATCTTTCAGAATCTAGAGAGGTTCAGAGACCCTCTACCCAGCAATGTGAACAGACAGTATTTATAATCAAAACATTAAACTGATATATAAAAATAGTCTGATTGGCTATAGCTTGATGTTTGTGTTATTTGGATATACTTTAAAAGAGTACAACCTGTGGATAGCTGAAGCTCAGATGCTGTGATTGACAAAGATTTGGCTAATTGTTACAAGAATGTAGTTACTACAATAGTCTTGTTATCCATAGGGGACATATTCCAAGACACCTCCTGTACTTAATGCCCAAAACAATAGTATTTATAGTCTGCATAGTTTCAAATCCTATATATATACTATGTTCCATCCTATAGATATATGTTGGTTAGCCATTTCATCATTGTAACAAATACCTGAGAGAAACAGTTTAAAATAAGAAAGATCTGGGGGAGGGCTCCTCATTGCAGAGGTTTCAGTCCATGGTTGCCTGCTTCTATTGTTTTGGGCCTGAGGTAAGACAGAATACCATGGTGTGGGAGCTTAGCCAAAGCTGTTCACCTCCTGGCAGTAAGGAAACAAAGAGGGCATGATAGGCCAACTCCCAGAAAACCACCTAGGCCCCACCTTCCTCTATTCCACCACCTTTCCACATTCTACTCAAATTTTGAATCCATTAATGGATTAAACCATACATTAGATCAGAACTCTCATGATCTAATTGTTTCTGGAAATGCTCTCACAGACAAACTCAGAGGTGTGATTTACTAATCTAGGTATCTCCCAATCCACTCAATTTAACAATATTAATCTTTTTATTTTTTATTTTCTTTTTCTTTTTACTTTCTTTTTAATTTACTGTAAAGATGATGAGCAGAGGGGTTATGGTTACATAAGTAAGGTAATGAGTACATTTCTTTTTAAACACCATTACTCCCTCCCTCATTTTCTCCCTCTTACCCCTTCTCACCACTCACCCTCAAATTGTATAGTTCATTTCCATCCACGGATCAGATAAGCTTATATACAAGATAAAAGGTACAGAAAACTAAAACAGAAAGAAAAAATAGAAATAACTGCATACAGAACATAATAAGAACCTCTTGTTTCCAATTCTTGGAATTCATATCACCCTGCACTAGAATCCATTCTAAATGGATCAAAGACCTCGAGGTAAAAGCAGACACCCTGAAAACATTACAGGAAGGAATAGGAAAAATACTAGGGCTCCTTGGAACAAGCTGAAATTTTCTTAATAAAGACCTAGAAACACAACTAATCAAAGAAAGTTTGGACAAATGGGATTGCATGAAATTGCAGAGCTTCTGCATGGCAAAGGACATAGCTAACAAGATCAATAGAAAGCCCACAGATTGGGAGATCTTCACTAGCCATACCACAGATAAGGGCTATTGACCACTGAGCCCTCCACATCCCAAGCCCCCTGCTACCTAAACTTCTCAGTGGTTCTGTGTCTGAACACACTCTCTACCCATGAGTGCTTCTTCTAGCCATCTCCCATCTGCCATCTCCCACCCTACAGTAATGAAATATCCCCAGGTTCCTTGACTTGGAATTGTTCCTTATTTGCACATCTCAGAGCAGTTCAGTCTCAACAAATAACTTCCTCAAAATGGTACCTGACTACAGCACTCCAAAATATAGGGAGTGATGAAATGGGCTTTTTCTCCAATATTAGCCTGTCAGTCCTCAGGAGTCACTGTTACATCAAATCCCCACATTAGATTTAAGGTTTGTGAGTAAAATATACATTTATTTTGAAGCTAGGAGTACCAATCTACCAATCTTTTCGCACCAGGGCTACCTTGTGACTGTGGCTTCATCCTTTCTCCCAAGCTAGGACTGGAGTTGGGGGCAGTATTCTTTGCATAGCCGTTCTGTTTGTAGCCTGTTTCTCAGTGCGTTTCAGCATTCCTCTTGCCTCTTCCTTAATTTTCAATGCTCTTCCGTTTCCCTCTTTGGATATAGTCTCTTTTTTTATTACCATGACTGTTCTCATTGATAGAACCACATAGAAGAAGTTTCTACTCTCCCATATTAGCCCTGAAGTTCCTCATTCATAGGTTTTCTTCCCCCCCAAGAACACAAATTTTCATTTTGTGGAGATAAATTCCCAGGCGTGAAACTTCTAGAGTGTATGGTTATTGGTTGTTTCTTTTTCCTGCAGCACTGGGACTCAAACCTAGGGCTTTGTGAATGCTAGTCAAGCACTCTAGCTCTGCATGTTTATTTTTAAAAGAAAAAAATCAATACATTTTCCATAGAGAATGTTCCATTTTAAGTTCTGGTTGCTAGCGTATCCATGATCTAGTTTCTCTGCATCCCAGCCAACATTGGTAGCGTGTTATCATTTTAATTCTATGTCCTCCAATTTATGGGCACAAAATACTTTTCCACTTTAAAAAGTTTTCTGTTTAATTGATTTAGTGCTAACTTTTTGCTCAGCTTTCTCTTCTTTTTTTCTAACCCCTTAAGCTGGAAAGTTAATCTATTTGAGATCATTTTTTATATAATCATTTAAAATGCAAATTTCCCTCATCAATTCTTTTGCTGCATCCCATAAAACTTTGGTATGTTAAATTTTTATTTTC